AATTTCCCTGAGTCGAGTCTGTTTTGCCTGTGACGGTAATTGGTGAATGATCTCCCTGCCCTTATCTTGACCTATGAGCCTTTTGTTATATTTTCTCTCCGCTGCCCAGGTGAGGAGGGGGAGTGATAGAGTAGCTTGGTGGCCACCTGGTGTCCAGCCAGGGTCAAACCCATCACATCTGGCCATATGCAGTGGATAATTGTATTGGTATTACTGCCACCTTATAGTATATCAGATCTATATAATGAAGTTCAGTGTTGCAACAGTAATATTTTTGAATAAAATCACATTTAAAAAAACAATGTCAAAGAAATAAACCACTATAATAATAGTTTAAAATAAGTATACATGTTAGTACTCCTCATTGATAAATTATTCTTTATTACATTATTTTGTGAAAGAATGGATACATAAAGAATGAGCAGTTATATTTCAGAACATTATTTCACCCTGTCATTATTGATATGCATATACAAAAGGAAATTAATAAAAGATTATTCTTGTTCTTTTGAAGGGTCAGTGGAGCAAATAATGCCAAACGTAATTAAAATAATATAATGCAAAATAACTTTGTGATATATCAAAATATTCTCTAAATCTCCTTTTTAATTCAGTGTATCTACTTCAAACATGATCCTCATGTTTTTATTTAAAAAAATAATTAAGTGATGTCCTACATATTCTTATGTATTATGAAAATATTTAACCCTGTATATGCTGATAGCCTTTGAGGATGACACATGGAAGTGTTGTATCTCGTTTTCAGCCAAATAATGTAAATTGTAGGGATGAGTCTTATAACAGCTGTGGAGGTTTGTGCTGCAGGGCCTTCACTCAGCAAATAGTATCTGCATTGTAGTAGTTATGCTTGTCTGAGATAATACATGAGGCCATGTTTGTAGGAAGCGGAAAATGATTTTTGTTAGAACAACAGATATAGTGTACGTATGTGTGTGAGGAGATATGAGAGGGGGAACAAAAGCTTTTGGGAGCTTGAGCCCTTCTTCAGGTGATGTTTAAAGAAATATTTTTCCAGGATGGTCACATTAAGAAGGACTTTTGTACCTGAAAACTCACCTCATTTCTCCAGTTTAAATGAAGTACTCTAGTAAAAGGAGCTCTTCGTATGAGTTTTGTGGCCCCAACAGAATGCTAAGCACATTGAGTGCATAGGCTATTGAAAATGAATAGCATTACTCATAAAGTGGAGCACATTGAAGGCCTCTTTTGGATTGGACTTCAGAATCTGCATGTTGTTCTTTGCCAACACTCTACTTCTAAGTTTCATCAGTTGCGAATTTTTCGTGAATCATTTCGTGAATCATGTTGCCTTCTGAAACCGAATCACGTCCTTCCTGGATATGTCATCGGCATACTTGCATCCACTAGCTTACAGGGCAAGTTAGACAATTATAGTCTAGCTTATGACTGGAGGTAACTTGTAGAAAGAGAACAGATTTGTGACTGTTTAATGCATCACACCTGTGTCTATGGAAACATGCGTGCTTTTTATCTCTCTGTCTATTTTGGAGCTATTTAGAAAGGACTAGTTCTCTTTGCAATGTTTTCAGCAAACTAAAAATTAATCCAGTTATTAAAATCTACCGTGGATAAGAAGAAAGTTTCTGTAAAGTATGAACTGTAAAATAAGCTGAAGTTGGCAGGTTTAATCCACTATGAAGCTGTAATCATGTAAACTGCTGGTAGACTGCCATTAAGCTATTCGTAGTATGCAGTACTCCTGAAGAGGACTTAATTAAATACAGTCTTTTATGGCCACTAATACACCAGTATAATGTACTGCTGATTCTGTCCTTTACCTAATCTTTCAATTTCCATGCACCTGAAATGTACTGAGATTGATTAATAAAAATTGCTTGGATTAAAAAAAAAAAGTAAAATAAATTCTTTAGCAAGTATTAAAACATTTAAATCCGTAAAGTTATTTTTGTTTCAATGACGTGGGTGCATTTTATTGTTTATATGTCTAAATGTCTGTCAAGTCTACATAACACAATATGAAGTTGTATTAGTAGTTTGAAGATATGCATTTAACTTTTTTCTGTTTCATGTGTATCTGATGCTTTAGGAGATACTAATGTTTTTGGGAGGTAGGGAATATGCCTCTCACTTGTCTTTTACAGTATCCTCCATGATTCCTTTTCTATGAAACAGAAAAGAAAAAAAAGAAATCAAACCCAAGTTCACCCTCTGTATCCTTGATAGTCTAACACTTACAGGAAATGGAAAAAAAAACATTTAACAGATTTCGGTAGTGACTTTCTATATATGTTTAAGATAGTAAATGTTAAAAGCATTTACAAGGTGTTATACCTAATTTAAAACTATTTTCTTATTTCTTCACTTTTAGAAGGCCCTATAAACTGAACAATAAAAACTGCTTTGTATTGTATTGTCCCTTAAAATTAAATGTCTTACATGATGTTATTTGTATGTACCTGTTCTTATTCTGATGACACACAATTATATTTTCATCAACACTGAAGACTTTATCTTAGTGTATTCAAGTGTTGCATCTCTCACTGCTGGAAGTCTGCCTTCAGGGGACTGTGAAATAAACACCCAAGTTATCTAACTGTGAGGGGTATGGTAAGACTGATCACTATCAAACATGTACATCAGTCCTACAAAAGCTTTTTTAATGCTAAGATCTTTTCCAGAGAGCACCGTCTAGAAATCCAGATGATTGAAATAGGGATCCCAGCTGCTCAGTAATGTCTTGAAGCTTTGTGTTCTCTTTCTGAGCAATCCTCTGGTAAGATTTCTTTAGCATATTAAAACCAATTGTCATTTTGTCATTGTTTTTGGTTGACTTAATCTTAAACTACTTTAGTTAGAAAAACTAACAAGATAACTTTAGTTATGACAGTGTATGATGTAACAAAACTGTAATTAGTATTTGAAAATGCTGTCAAAACATTTTTTTAATGTAGTGGAAAAACAACATTCTAGATACCACTTTATGGAGCTAGCAGCCTGATTTGAATTAAGCAACAGTAGGAACAGAAGTGCTCTAGAGTATACTCTCTGAATTACTAGCAGAGTTATTAAAGTCCATGAAAATGCAGGAGAACATAGTTTTGCAGAACTGTGATTTTAGAATGCTTGATTCAATCAAGAAGCATGCTAAACTCTTTTGCAAATAAATAAGGGATAAAATAAAGAAGTGTCAGAAGAAATTACCAGAAACAAAGCAAAGGCTGATAAAGGGTTTTTAAAGGAGAAAGAGAGAGGAGTCTCTCTTTCCTTCCTAGTGAGGAAATATTCTAGATATGTAAAATAGCTTAATATAAGACTCAGCCTTAGAAGGACAGAGGGGAAGAAACAACGATAGGGTGATAGCAATGAAATGAGATTGAAGAAAAAGAAACAAAAGGAAGTCAGGAAAAAAATTGGGCTTGATTAACTGAAAAACAGGAAGGAAGCAAGTGATGAAAAACAAAAAGTTACATGATTTTAGTGGCAGCGTTTGGATCATATTTCATCATGAATCTGAAGGCAAGTGTAGGAATGGTGCTGATAATGATAGAGAACATAGGCAGAATGTAAGAGACTTGACTTTTTTGTCATTTGGAATTTCAGCTTTGTTACTAATGGAAAAATAGAATGCCGAGCACTGTTTTTTAAAATGTTTTTCCTGTGCTAATATGGGAAGATTTTAACCATTTTGAGTGTGAAATGTGCATGTGCAAAACGGGAGTAAATACAATTCTGAAAACACTAAGGTTTTTTAGTGTTGTTACTACTTTTTTTTTTCACATTAGTAAAATCCTTGTTTTATTAAAAATAACTGCTCTGTAACTTGAACTTTATTTTATTTTCAAGTTGTGAATGCATGTTAAAAGTTAAAGTATTAAAATGAAGGAGAATAGAAAATCTATAGCATTTTGAGTGATTTAGTAACTGGATTGCTTCTAGCTCTGTTCTCTCTGTAAGCATATCTTGTGTAAGCAGTTAAGTGGCTTCTATTCAAAGGCTAAATCATTTTTAGTATATTGTCAGAATTATAGCTTTCATACTGAATCATTAATAGAACCGCTTTGGAGCCATATTAAAACTAGTGTGCACCATGTGCCCCAGTTAATTGAAGAGCCACGACTTGCCGAGTTATTTTGTGTAATTCTGAGTTGCTGACCAAAAGTTTTAATTTAGATTGTAAACCTACAATCATAAATCATAGAATAGTTTGGGTTGGAAGGGACTTCTAAAGGTCATCTAGTCCAACCCCCCTGCCATGGGCAGGGACATCTTCAACTAGAAAAGGTTGCTCAAAGCCCCATCCAACCTGGCCTCGAATATAGGGTATGACACCTCAACTATTTATCCTCCCCACAATATTACCTTCGTTATGCTAGATCCGTTTCAGCTATACAGAGATACACGATACAGAGATTCAGGCTCAGTCTTTTGTATGACAAAAAATAAAAAACCGGTTACAGTTGGCAGTGGCAAGTTTCCCATCTTTTGCTTCTGTTTAAGCATTTTCTTAGTGTTATATTGAATGCTTAGACTGTTTCCTGTTTTTACACAACAATTTTTTAATTGAAAAAGACACAACAAAACACTTTGGCCTAATAGATGAGACAAAAACCCGAATAAATTCATGATTATAAGAGTACTGGTTTGAAAACCGGCAATTATGATACACATTTCAAAATCAATGTACAGAAATAAGTATTTGCTTATTTTTTATAATTTTATTTTATTTACTGTGTGCATACTTACTACTAGCCAATTTACTAGTAACAATTGATGTTTGAAAGGTGATTGTCCAAGAGGACAGTGGGCAGAGTAGCTAAGAAAAATTATTTGCAGGCAACTAGCTTATTCGTAGCTGAAATGGATCTAGCATAACAAAGGTAATATTGTGGGGAGGATAAATAGTTGTCATGCCCTATATATGGCATGGTATGCTGCTGTGTTAGGCTTGTTTCTGGAATATGTGAGGAGGAATGCTTTTTCTCCCTGCTCTAGAGGCACTTTTTGTTGTAGGAAATTATGGAACCCGGAGAAGAGCCTGCTAAGAAAAAGCAGTCACCTGATTTCCTCTGAAGATCACATGTGAAGAGAAACTAGAGATGCTGAATGAAATACCTGTTACTTAATGAAAACAAAGATAAAGATGGATAGGAGCTTAGGGCCAACAGATGAGAAAATTCCTTGGAGGTGTCAGTTCACTCAGAACATTTTAATACAAATGTCCCCAGCTGAAGCAGCTGCAGGTAAGAGCTAGAATGGAAAAGAAACTCTCTAACTGAATTATTACCCTAGAGCTGTAACAGTGGACGTGTTCAGTGTAAATACAGAACTAAAACTGAACTGCATCATGAGATGTGCTAAACCCAGCGTGAGTGTTTACTACCAAAACACTTGCAGCGGGGACTGAAATGCAGGATCTTTGTCAAGTGAAAGACAGGCCATTCCTTCCAGACATTTTCCTCAGTTTTCCTTCCCTGTGATTCTGTGGAAGAAGACATGTATTCTAGGAAAGAAACAGGCTGAATTATACATGTAGGTTAATTTTTTTCTTTTGTTCCACTGTTCTTAACTATCAGTTCCCACTTGAGAGCAAGTACTCCATCAGGCTGGTGTGTTACGCCTTGGGGAGTGTCCCAGGTTCACTCTGTATTGCTTTTCAGTTACAGGAGCGCATAGTTCAACTTCATTATCTACTCTACATCTGTTATTTTGTATTAAAGCTATATTCCTTCCCCCTTCAAGAACAGCAGTCCCATTAAAATGACATTTAAACTGGCTGTTTGCGGCTTAAAATTTTGTTAGATAGGGTTAATAAAAATTTCCATTGCTTGGCATTTATGATACTGGTAATTTCTCGTGACTATAGTGCTTTAAAAACACATGGTGTATAAGCACTAGAACAATAGTAAAGCAAGCGCAAGTGAGGCTTTCTGCTTACTAAGGTATTTAGCTCCTGGAAATTTTTGCATGATTTCATGTGGGATTTTAAAATTCATTTTAAGAGATAAATTACTCCGTTAACTTTACAATAGGTAGCTATTATTTTATGCTCATCTAGTGCTGTGATACCATATGGCAATGGAGATCTGTGAGCCTCTAAATGCTTTACATTTATTTTTTTCATCTTGTAGTAAATTATATTTCTGGAAAGTAGCACTTTTTATGTAGCTACTATGATCGTAGTTAGATACTGTAATTTCTTTCCAAACTTAGTTTTTGAAAAATCCGTGCTCAGTTTGCTTTTGGGAAATTGTGTGTGTTAACCCTGTCATGCAAAAATAACATGTTTTCCCAGGCACTCAGTGTTTCATGCACAAAGAATGTCCTTAGTCAGTGCTATTGATGGTTTCATTTTTACATCTATTAGTTTTATGATAAAAAGCCACTTTCTATCTTTTGTATTTTTTGTCTTCCTTCTTACAGTAGCATCTTTGGAGATGATCTTCTGCAAAAATGCAGTTGTTAAATGCATTGCGGATTAAAAAAAGGCCACTCTGGATTTGAGTATCTATATGAAATGTTAATTCATGCCCAAGGTCCTTTGTAATTTTAATTTGTATTTAACATGAATTCTGTTTTACGAAGTTGACTTCTGAGTTGTAGAAGTTAACTTGTCAGATTTGGAATGGGATTTTTATACTCAAAGGGATAAATGTTATTTAAACATGATTTTTTGCAGCTCCTATAATCTCTTAGTAACAAATGTACTTTATTGTAACCGACATATTGCATCAACAGTGTCCCAAAAGCCCCTTGCTGTCTTTACAGTCCAGACCACAAAAAGTTAACCTGCTGTGTAGGTGGCCAGCTGTGAATGCCAGCTTTATGATTCTTGTACATACCTGCTGTTTAAAGGTTAAGTTTAGTAACATAAAACGTTTTGTGTCATGTTGATTAATTGAAAGATATCAGCTGATAAAATCACTGCACTGAAGTCAGAAATTTCATACCTTCTGTTTTGCTTGGCAACAAATTCTTAAGAAATAATGTGATACAGCAGCTTTCTACTAGCTGCATTCTTGTATGTATAAAAAAGGTGGATGGATTTCCTGATAAAAGTAGAATGCTGTTAACTAACGCTTTGTCGGAAGTACAAATCATGCACAAATAGAGAACTCCTAGGCTTTTAAACTACAGATGGATTAAATACCGTTGTATCTTCTGTAAGTATAGAACCTGGTCTTACCATGATACTGATACAATCTGTGTGCTTGGGGAGCAGTGAATAAACAGGTTTTGAGGCGTGTCTGAATTGCTGCATACCTGAACAAAGTGAGAAAATGATAAGGGAAGAAAAGTTTCCTAGTTTAGTAAAAACTGAAATAAAACTTCAAGCAAGCTAGGTCTAGTTGTTTGTTCCAGTGGATTATCAAAACTCTTTGTGCGTAATACAGTAAGAACGATAGATGTATATCCTTGGTTACGTTTGTTTCATCACATGAAGTGACATCACAGAAGCAGCAATGCATACACATAGTCATTTTAATAGAACTTGGCCAACTCCTGTAACTGTTACCATTGGCCACAACTGCAGAAGAAAAGACTAGTCTTTCTTTTAAAGTAAAGTAATAATGTAATAATTTCTTATAGTGGTGCCGGATACCTGCCTTTCCAGATCTAGTTTTAGCTGAAAAGTTTGTAATAGATCTTGATAATTATCATTGCTTATTTTGGTCAGTTGCAACTTCTAGCCATTCTAATAACGTTTACATTTTTGTTCCAGTACCTGTTTTAATGCTTCATTTCTGTGAAAACTGAGATAGCAGCTTCTTAGTGATACTGTCTCATGTGAGCAGAGGAATATCACGCTCAGTAAGGTGGCGTTTATTTGAGAAGTAAGCCTTAGGTTTTATTTCTGAGGGCGAATTCTTTTTCAGTCTTTTGATACTTCTGAAAGTATTGAAGAAAAACAGTCTGATTTTTCCCTAATGTATCCTTATTGTAGAAGTTTGTGTGTGTTGTTTGATCAACCTCTGAAAATTTTGGTTTCATTCAGACAAATATCACGCTCAGTAAGGTGGCGTTTATTTGAGAAGTAAGCCTTAGGTTTTATTTCTGAGGGCGAATTCTTTTTCAGTCTTTTGATACTTCTGAAAGTATTGAAGAAAAACAGTCTGATTTTTCCCTAATGTATCCTTATTGTAGAAGTTTGTGTGTGTTGTTTGATCAACCTCTGAAAATTTTGGTTTCATTCAGACATGGTTTCTTTTCATCACCTTTTTTTTTTTTTTTTTTTTCATTTCATTCAGACATGGTTGTCATTTTTGAGCATTATAATATTCGTCCTTGATGCACTTTTTTACAACGGATTGTCTTGTTTTAAATATTCTTTAAATATTCTGAATTTAATACTCTGTGAGAAGATGACCTGTTTACAGATAGGTATTTTTAAAAGGGAATTGAACTGTATTAATTTGAAAATAAAATTTCACCAGTGTCTTTTCCAACCACCTATTTCTCATTAAAAAAGAAAATAAAAAAGTTAAGGACCTACTCTTCAGTTAGTGTTTCTTTTTTGTTATGTCATCTTATTCTTAGCAAGAAAGTTACAATTAGAAACCATTGATAGTTAGTAGCAGTTCTGGATTTGATTTGTGACATCCTATTATAGAATGTAATATAACTATGTAAGAAAGACTTTTATATAAGCTGTATGCATCAAAAATCAGGGAAGGAAAAATGGCTATGTTTAATCCTACTTAGGCCTTCAAAGGGATGGGAGCATAATAAGCAGAACTTAAATTTATATTTAAGTGGTTGCAATCTAATTATGTACATAAGAAAATTAAAAAAAGCAATTATCATTATTGCAATAATAACACTAAAAAATAACATGGTTTATGCTCATTTTGGTGAGCATGAGTGTGTCAACTGTTAGGGCTAAACCATCTTCTTTTCATACCAAGCTGAGTAACCAAGTCCTGGCAATATGGACTCATTGAGGACTACATGGAAGAAATACTCCTTACTGGCTACCACTCTTACGTGCTGTATCTTGATCAAAACAGTAAGAGGTTCACATTCCTAGTTCCCAAGTAGTTACAAGACATCTGGACTACCTTGTTGTCATGGAACAAGTAGTAAATTTTTTTCTTTATGAACCTTTTTCTCTGCTTCTTATCTAAAGACCATTTTTCTGGCAAGTGCTAATCAGTTGTGAGAGAATCAAGTGAAAGCTGCAATAAAAGGTATTATTTATTTTAGTCAGGTTCTTAGCTGTTCTTTCCATCTTTCATCACTAATGAGGTAAGTAGAGTGAGAAGAAGCGCCCACGTGACTCTAAAAATGGTAGCTGTGAAAACAGGTAATTCTTTTTGAATGGAATATGATGAAAAATTAGTAATCAACTATATAACCCTTTTTTCAGTGTTTTTCAAAATGTTCAGGCATGATATTTTTCCTTCTGGACAATACTTTCTCTGACATCTGATTTTGCTTTCTATATCTTTTTATAAAGAACGTTTTGATCTGAACATCAGTACGTGAAAAGGAAGTGAAAAATAATGATCTGTTTTTGTGCTTAAACACATGCCAGTCTTTATGAAAAAAAAAATCTGCTGCAACATTTATAGCATTGAGAATTTGGCATATGCCTCTAGCATCCAGCTGCTTAAGTTCCTCACATCTTGCTGTTTAGAAAGTCAATTTATTTTTTACAGAACTTATGTTCTTATACAGATAAATTTGAGACTATCGCGAAATGAGACACAGTAATCAATTTAAACTCAGCAGTTGCCTGCTATTAATTGCCATTTACACACATTTAAATGCAAAGCTCATGATAGCTCTGATTCATAAAATGTTAAAGATATTTTTAATAGGGAAAAAATCTTGAACTCTGTATGTGGCAATAAGAATTTGCATTCCTTCTCAGGTAGGCATCTTACGATTCTATAAAGATTTCCCCTCAACACAGGCTCGTTATTGTGTCTTTGAAAGCTAACCCGGAAGGTATTTCTGGATTTGCAGATAGTGCGTCTGTTTAATACAGAATATTGAGCAATAAGTTGTAAGAAAATGAGGTAATTTGACTAAAACATGGTCTTTAATGTGTTTTCATTTATGTTTATCCTTAGATAGCATTAACTGATAATAAGGATAGATTCTGTGGGTTTCTGAGTTCTTGCTTTGATGTGCTAGCATTATTCACAGAAGAAGGTCCATGTGGTTCCTACCTGCATAATCTTGTATTTGGAGATGTTACTGAGACATAGTCATACACTTCTGTAATTAACACTTGTTCTGGACTTAGTTTATGGGTAATTTGTGCATTTTGTTAGCACAAAGAAAGAATTTCAGAAAACATAATAAATGGAAAGCAACTTGCCCTAACTCTCTAATTGCTTGTTATCAAGATAAAATGTTACCTATATGAATTTATATGTGTGTGTGTGTATATATATAATGTTATTGAAACTTAAATGTCAAATTTATATAGTGTTCGATCATAAAGTCTGACTTTCCTTGGTTCATCCAGAACTACACTATAAACGAGGCCAGTGAAATTTGCTTCGGAAGGTTTCAAAAGGTGTCAGGATACTGGATCCAAATAAAAACTGCATGAACTGCAATTAATAATTTCTTCTTGTGTTTAGATTTTAAATGGACGGCATATTGCTATTTTTTAACAAAGTAAAAGTTGGAAACGTGAATAATTCTGTTTTAAATTCAAAGAGTAATCAGTTTTATCATTCATTGAGCCAGTGATTTATTTCAGAAACTGCTTGGTGATGCTTGCAACAGTGTCTGGACAGAGTCTAGTGATCCTGTACAGGCAGTTAACAAACAGTAATGAGATACTGCCAAGGTAAAAGC